CTAAATATTCATTATAATAGGGTGCTCTCCCTCAATATCTACACAACCTCTCTCTCTCTCTCATAACCTCTATCTCTCTCCTAGAGGAGCACGTCCCACTCTCTCTCCTCTGAGTTTCTCTCTCTAACCCTCTCTATCCTAAAGTTTCACAAGGGGGGCCACGCCCTAACTCTAGCTACTACTCTTTTTCTCTCTAGACCTAAAAAGAAACTAAGGGTTGTAGAAATTAGAGGGAAGCCTCAGTTATTTTTAGAGGTTAGGGTTTTGTGGAGAATTAAAGGTTCTTACATAGTTTGGCCGAAATCAACTTTCTCAAATCAAGATTGAAACTAGATCACAGATCTCGCGCCATTGGATGTGGTGACTAGGTGTGGGGTCTAAGAAGCTCGGCTGAGGTAATCTCCGGCATCTTTATCTTATACTTACTTGTTCTTTATTTCATATTCTCAAGCATAATATTAGGTTGTATCAATGGCATCAAATAGTTGAGATTTATTTTATTGATGTTTATTTATTTTGGAATTTCTATTGTTTGTAATAAAACCATTTGTGAGTGATCTTGTTGCCAAAAATATAAGGGGTTATTATTATTATTACAAAAAAAATTGTATTTCCCCGGTAAAAGATCACATATGTCTTTCTTTCACTGGTATTAGAGCTAGTTTTACTTGATTGTCATTATGAGTCTTTTCTTATTTTTTCTTGAGGATAGAAATATATGGCTGCTCGTACCTTCATCTCTGAGATTCTGAAAACCGAAAGGTTTGATGGGGCCAACTTTGCTTCATGGAAAAGAAAAATCAAATTTGTGCGTTATGAAGAAAACTTGCATGAGGTACTCTTTGAGGACCGACCTCATCGTCCAACTGACGACTCATCTTAAATAATCAAAGATGAGTACGCCAATATGAAGAGGAACTTGAGATGCAAGCACATTCTTTTATGTGCCATGACTGATTTATATGCTTTCTGAGTACAAGTCAATCTATACTGCAAGTGATATTTTTGATAAACTTGAAAGAGAATATGTTGAACCCTCTCTCATGAAGCAAACTATGGCTGTGAAAAGGTACAATGATTTAAAAATGGTAGAAGGTACCAAGTTTGTAAATCATGTGCACGTGTTTCGTGCGCTCGTCAGAGATTTGGAAGATACAAGCATGAAGATACTGCAAGTGATTCATTTAATGAATTCTCTTCCTAATTCATGGAAGACTTTCATATCTTCCATCTCTGCTAGAAGAAAGGCATCAAAATTGGAGGAACTCATCACGACCATCAAATTTGAAGAAGAAAAGAGGAGTTCAAGGCAAACCCCAAGGGATGCTGTGCATATGGTAAAATCCCAACCATTTTTTAAATTTAAAAAAGGAAATGGCAGAAATACTTTTGAGAATAAAAGATATTTCAAAAGAAGAGATTTTGAAAATAAGGGAGTAAAGAGAGAGACTCAAACTTGTTTTATTTGTAAGAAAGTGGGCCGCATATGCAATAGTTGTCAGTTCAACAAATCTGGTGGAACTAACAAGGAATTAGCATGTATGGTTTTTGAGTCCATGCTAGTTGACCCCAAGGGACCTTCTTGGTGTCTTGACTCGGGGGCTACAGCCCATGTCACAAACACCAATGAAGGTTACCGTTCTTTCACTCTCATGGGGCCAGGGGAGCAGCATATTTATATGGGAGGAAATCAAACGACCGATGTACTTGGAGTTGGAGATTTTTAGCTGAAACTGAAGAGTGGGAGCACCTTGATCCTAAAGCAAGTACTTTATGCTCCTGATATGAGGAAGTGCTTGGTTTCGGTCCTTAAAATGTCTATGGCTGGATTCATAACCACTTTCATTGGGGAGAAAGTGGTGGTTAAGAAGGGGAAAGATGTGATCATGACTGGACGACTTGTAGAGGGTTCTTTACTATTGAAATAAAAGAGAACATTGCTTATGTCTCGTCCCCTAATGAATTAGATGCTACCCTATGGCATATGAGGTTAGGACACATTAATATCAAAAGAATGGAGATATTAAAAAAAGACGGGATTCTTCAAAATTATAAGGGAGATTTATCGAAAGTGTGCGAGTCTTATGTGTAAGGAAAATTAATAAGGAAAAATACCACTGGGGCAAAAAGAGCTACTAGCGTATTGGAAATCATTCATAATGACATATATGGACCTATGAATGTGACCTCAAAAATAAAAAAGGATATTTTATTTCATTTATAGATGACCACTCGTGATATGGCCATGTGTACCTTATTCATGCAAAATCAGAAGCTCTAGAAAAATTCAAAGAATATAAGGCCCAGGTAGATAATCAAACCAACCTGAAAATTAAAGTCCTTAGAACCGATAGAGGGGGGGAATATTCATCTGACCTTTTCAAAGAATTGTGCATTGAAAATGGGATCATCCATCAGTACACCATGCCTTATACTCCTGAACAAAATGGTGTAGCTGAGAGAAGGAATAAGACCTTAGTGGAAATGATAAGGAGTATGATAGGGCATGCAAATCTCTCATTGGAGTTTTGGGGAGAAGCCGTATTAACAACATGTTACATCCTTAATCGGACTCCCACAAAAGCTGCCCCACTTACTCCTCACGAAATTTTCACAGGTCGTACTCCTTCCTCGAATGCCTGAAAGTTGGGGGTTGCTCAACCCATGTCCTTATCCTACATCAAAATAGAACCAAATTGCAACCCAAAACTGTCAAATCCATTTTCATTGGTTGCCCAGATCATGGTAAGGGGTATCGGTTCTACAACCTTGAAACATGTACGGTTATTGAAAGTCGCGATGCTCACTTCTTCGAAGAAGAGTTCCTTGAAGCAAGGGTGAGTAGAAAACAAGCCGACTTTCATGAGGAAGCCCAAAACAAAGATGTAGTTTGAGACCCTGAACCTGAAAATTCCAAACCAACCCAACCTGATTCTGAACTCCCTATAGAAAGTGAACATTTACTTGAATCAAGACGAAGTAACCGAGTTAGTAGACCACCTCTTTACTTAGAACATTTTGTTTACCTTGGAGAACATTTTGATAAGGTTGGGGAATATCCAGATTCAGAACCTAAAACTCACTGTGAAGCCTTGACCTGTCCTGAAAGGGAATACTGGGTAGTAGCCATGAAAGATGAGTATGCTTCCATTAACCAAAACCATGTATGAGAATTAGTACCTATCACACCCCATGAATTTACAATACTGATATTCCTGAGATG